TTCCAAGATGCTCGAAGAGCCTCAAACGATAACATGAAAGAGGTGGTCAAGTCATGATAAAGATGCCCGATTCATGTACAGACTTATGACATGATAAATTTTACTCTATTTGGAACCAAGTCTAATTTGGCTTTAGGACTTCTTTACCGCGGTCATTGTCTTGCAATCTCCCAAACCTAACGTGAATTTAGTTGAAAGGGCCTGGGAGAAATTGTTTAACGTTGTGTTTTAAAAGGCTTTAAAACTCAACCACATACAAAACACTTAGTATTATTGTGCTGCCAGCATATGAACAGCAAATTTTATAGGACATGTAGTCATTATGACAAATGCCAAGTCTAGAAGGGTAGTTTGGAGTGCTATCAGACATTGAAAGCAAAATCCATCGGTGTGACTAAAAAGGAAAAAAGAAATCATTAAAGATTAGGCTAAATATATAATTAGCCTTTATTTCACCATTACAAGAGTTCTATTTAATCGTTCACCTCCTCCTGCTGTCAATATGCATGAAACAGAAAGCTTTCCAAAGTCACTTTTAACACAGTAAGAAATAACAATGCTTCAACAATGGAGTATTATTACAAGACTTTTCAATGTGATTCTGAATTTCAAAAAAGGTTCTTCAATTACCACATACCAGAAATAGTCCACTCTACTACCTAATAGTCCCGTCCAGCAGCTGAATATATACTGTTGAAATTGAAATAAGCGTATACAGATTGCGTTTAAATAATCGTCTCACGAACACACAAGCACTAGGATTACTCAGTACTCAATTTAAAACACAAACACATTCAACATTCAACAAAAATCATAAAGTGAATTTAAAATCGGAGTCTGGAGAGAAGACGAACCTAAAGCCAAAGCCCGAAAGCACACAAACTCACGAAGAACGAAGTAGATGGCTAACTGGGAGAGGCGAGGACGCGGGGCACCGAACTCAGGTTGAGATCTGATACGTTCGACGGCGAGAATCTGGAGCCATAAGAAGGACGCAAACAACGAGAGGCAGAGATGCAGATACAGCCGCCAACGACGTCGACCGTCCAGAGGTAGAGGCGCAGAGATCGGTAGAACGTGGAAGTCGAACTTCGCAGGAGCGAAATTACAGAACAGGGTATTGAGTCTCATACAGAATGGGAATGAAGATCAAAGAAGGGACGAAGAAGAAGTCGAGGATAGAAGATGAAGATTGAAATAGGGAATATATTCATTGAAGAAGGAAGAGGGCGACACTCTTATCTGTAAAAATCGATTCTTGTCTTGAGATGAACCGTTGTCCCCTTCTCCGATCTCAGGGCCATTCTTCATTACTTTATAATTTAATTTGTCAATTACTCAAAAATTTGATGTTTTATTTTTATATAATTTAATTTGTCAATTACTTCAAAAATTTGATGTTTTATTTTTATATACTCATCCGGTCCTAAATATAAGATCTTTTTTGTAGTACAAAAAGGTTTTATATTTAAAACTGAAAAGTACATTATTACATATTTATGTAAGATTATTTTTTTCTAATTATTATATTAGTAGTATGACTAAACAGTCTAACCTATCTAATCATCTGAACCATAACCAGCTAATCTTTTCGATTTGATGTTCAGTTCGGCTTTTAAAACATTACTTGTAACGGAATATGATATGTGTGTGAGATGGAAAATTTGTTAAGAATTTCATGATATTTTTCAAAATCTTTCAAAACAAAACACATTATCTTTTCAAAAATATCCCTATTTAGTTAGGGGCATACTTAAAAAAGACAATTTTTTAGATTTTGGTCCTTTTTTTTTTATGCAATTCCTTATTATAGTTACAAATTTAATTTTAAAATCATGAAATTAAAAGTTACATTTCAAATTAGTTTGATTTCAAATTTTTAGTCAGTAGACATATACATGTATGTTTCATTATTTTCTTACTTTTGAATAATATGCTGCAGACCTGTAGTAAAAACTTAAGATTAAACCACAGTTCATATTCTAGAAGAAAATGAATGATTTTAATAAAATTCAAGGGTGTAAATGTGATTTGGACGGACTCTTGAAGCATTTGGAGTGGTTGATAGAAGAAAATATTTCTGCAAGTATTTATACTTTTTTTTTTAATTTAATGCATATGCTTTCTTTCTCTTTTTTATTAAATTATTTAATTTTGCTCTGTTGAAACCGTTAAGTTTTATAACTTTGTTATGTACTGACAATGCCAACAAAGCAAGATTGAATGATTTAATAAAAGAACGAAAAAAAACATAGGTATCAAATGGAATATTGAAGGAAAACAGAGGCATCTGCAAAAAGGTTTTCTCAAGGTTGATAAATACAACAAAAGACATAGAATTCATGAATAATAAGCATGCCGATTCATCCAAAAAAAAAAAAGAAGGCATGCCGGGAAACTTATGCTATATTTTAAAATAAAATAGTAATAATAACTATTGAATGTTCAATTTATATTTCAACTGTTCAAAAAAATGTGCACTAACTTCTTTCTATTATGGTGGTGCAGGAGACCAAGTCTGTACAAAACTCCATATTCTAAAACTCCCATAATCTATAAGGAAAAGCTCCTTACTGATGTTTAGGTATTACCACTATCAAGTTTTTCCAAGCCTCAGGTGTGGATTATGGGGAAGCAGAGAAGTGATTGAGTCGCACATAGCACTCATCTAAACGGCATTTATGCAGCTGAAATGCAGGATTCACCCATGCTCCACAGCTGCACTGCATACCTGCCCATTTGAAGTAACCCAAACGAGCATTGCATCCCAAACAGAAAAGTTTTTCCTCTACATGGCCCTCATTAACTGCCAAGTGAAGCAATACTCATACAGAGTTAGTGTGAAGAATGAAGAGGAAAATCTTATGGCAACTGGATAATATATTGATTGAAATTTACAAAAACCTGTTTGCATCCACTTCATGGGCTCGACAAATACCGAGGTACAGTCCACTGGTTGCTTTTCTGTGTTCTCATTTCTCTTCTTCCATTTAAAACTCGCTTCTCCTTTTCCATGCTTATGGGAAACAATGTTATCATCTGAAGCTACAATTCTTCGGCATTTCTTACGCCGGTAAATAAGGTGAGCCTTTAATGTGGTCTTCGACTCAGAGCTAACAGTTCCAGCTCTTTGGATTCACTGATCAGTGATGTAAATGTTTAATATTCTGCAAGTTTAAAAGCATATGAGAAGACAACATGGAACCTAATATAATTGTCCAATAGCCATTCATCCAGGCTTGGTTAAATAAATGAAGTTGAAAAGAAATAAGAGGTGAAAGAACACAGAACAAATTAACATGTAGTGTCACACAAAAATTTCTCTGGATATAAAGACGGTGGTTCCTTCTTGGTTCATGCCCATTAATAGTAGGGAAACTTAATATGGAGCTGTAAGAAAGGAACGCAATTAACAAAAAGTCCTGCAACAAATAAGTAGCATGTAATGACAAGATTTGGTGTAGCAACACGTCTACGCTACTCACTTGTTATTAAAACAAGACCATACCCATTAATAATATAAAGTTCTTTGTCCACTTGACGTTAAACTTCTTGAGTAACCCGTCGTTCATTATGTTTTAATTTTACGCCCATGTCAAAAATACTTTTACTCTAATGAACAAGGATGTAATCAGTATTCAGGATGATGCCAGTAACAAGAATTAGCACACACTAACATTGATCAGCCAATCTTTGTCACTTTAGACACAAGTAGCAGCAGATGTGAACTAGGCGTGACAATATTGAAAGTTGCAGAGACAATGAATTTTCATGCAGCAACCAAAGCAAATTATTAAAAACCACACACACACACACACACGTGCTCCTCTACCAGAATACTTAAATCTGTCGAGTTAGCAACGTGGGGGTCATGAAACCAACGTAGTTTTAGAAGCATCACATCTTCATTATTTGAGATCATATGCTTTGTTAGAGAACCATCCGATCCCACTAGACGGGCTGTTAACATATTGAATATCTTTTGATGTCTCTAACTTACTCGTATTTTCTTTTGTTGTAATTAGCTGATGATGCCCAGGTTTTTTGGTTTGCATGCCCTTTGTAATTTCATTTTTTGATGGAATTTTCCCTTTTCTCTGGAAAAAGAAGCTTTCTCCATCAGACTGAGATAGGGAGTATTAGTTACCTAAAATCAAGTACACCTAAAACATGGTGCCATGTAGGCAAGACTAATGTCTCCAAGGCAGAAGTTTATTCAGACCGTCACTGTAGTTTAGCCTTTCATGAACAGGCCTGTCATCTCATCTTCTACCCCTTCTCTCTCACAAGCCACGAGTCCGAACACACAAAGACAAGACATATGACCATTCTCATTCTTCATATTACGCACATAGAAGCTCTGAATTGAACAAATCTAATGGTAGTTATACTCACCAATTTTACCCCCTCCCCCCCCCAAAAAAAGGAGACGAATTCTTGGTGGAGTTCTCACAAATATTGATATGTAATAAATATCACTACATAGCCAATGACAACCCTATTGTAAATTATCTTACGCTGGAAAGCACAAGTTACATGCAAAGTGGTTATTTAGCTAATACATGACCCTTGAGAGAAAATTCCAGACAAGCCAACAAGAAGTTCATTCCAGACGACGCAACAGGAAGTTAATATGAACACATTATGCATAGGGTAAATCAGGACTCGCAAAATTGTATTGTTCAACTATGTTTGTTGCCCTAACATTGTTTCCTATATAAATTATAGTCACAAAACCAGACTAACACATAAACATTATTGCCTCCTTCAATTTGTTTTTTTCCGTGAATGCTTGGTTTCATGTTATTAGCAATCCCCAGCTTAATTTGATAGCAGAACGCAGAAGTTTCTAAACAAAGACAAGACGATTAAAAAGAAGAGGAAGAGAATGACCAGCGGCAGCATAATCCCCAGTTTGAACACCGCCGATGCAACGCTAATGCCTGGTATCCTGTATGTTTTAGTCTGGAACGTGAAGTCTCTTGGAATTCATATAGTGCTTGTATAGTTTGACAAGCTTGGACAAGGTCCAGACAAGATGTTTGTATGGTTTGGCAAGCTTGGACGAGGTCCAGACAAGTGTTAACATGTGTGGGCAAGGTGCTTGTGTAGTTTGACAAGTTTAGATAAGATTTGGGCAAGGCCGTCGGGGGTGCACTGGACACCACGCAACATGCGGCGCTTTTCCAGCCACCAAATCCTACCTCCGACTGAGCCATTTCTAGGTGGATAGGCTGTTAAACAAAAAAGAGAACTCTTCCTCAGGCCCCCGCTAACTTCTCTAGACTCCCTAACGTTGTCGTCAGCCACAACATCCCGGTTCAAGAATTTTAATATGATTCCCTTTCAAAGTACACACACTGCACGCTATCAAAAATTCTTGCAAATTGGTTTCTTGAAGATCAATCAAGGAAAAACCAATTACTATGGTAAAAAGCTTGAATACAAGGTTAGTTCTATGTTCTACATTGTATATTACTTTGGTTTCTTGAATTTTGTGGTTGAAAATTATTGATTCCCTTAAGGGGAGGTACTGGTCGAAATTTGTTATACAGCAAATGGGATAAGGCTTAGTCGGGACAGCCCAACCCATCCAACAATCTCAACAACCTCAAGAGAAAATTGTTGAGAGGGTACAACCTACTACAGAACCTGACACATTGCAGCAATGGATAGTGAAGTTGGGGAAACACCACCCTTCAACTTTTGAGGGAACCTTTGACGTGCATGTGGTTGAAGACTAGATAACTCAACTAGAGAAGATCTTGAATATCCTGGAATGCTCATATAAAAGGAAGGCTCAAAAAGAAACTTTGTGAAACATTTAGAAATATTATCATAATTATATAAGCATCCTAAATCACATGAAATTAACCATGATAGAAAAGAGTTAAACCAAACCATATATATCTCTATCATAGTTAAAAGAGCTTTTCTAAATTAATTGCGTGCAATTTGAAATTCACAATGAATAGGGCTTTGAGTATTATGAAACCCATAATGTTCTTTTTCAACCATAAGTCCATAACACAACATTACTGAGCCATTCACAGTTTCATAGTCTGAATTAGTTTATACTTACACATGCATGGTTTAATCTTTAAGAGAAACATATGACTACTGGCAAGATCAACCAGGTAGCAATCCTTCAAAGACGTCGTGACGTTGCCAGCAAACCGCTGAGGCACCTAATTATTTTCTGCCAAAGCCTGATACATTCTTATTAAAACACCTTTATTTTTTACCAAATAACCATCCAATTAGAGGTAAATGGAATCACATTTGAGTACGATGGCATCAGTGATATGAGTAAGATCTGGTTGATACTTCTTTAGTTGGGAAACATGGAAGACGTCATATATCTAATTCAGATTAGGGGGTAGGGCCAATTTATAAGCTACTGGTTTAACTTTTAACAAAATTTGGAAGGATCTTCGGCGTTAACTATTTCGCCTTAGGGGTTTGACCCATTCCAGTGGTTTGAATTTCCAGTAAAATACCTCTTAGGGGTATAACTGAACTTTATATTTTATTAAAGCTACTCCACTAGCCTTTTGGGGATGGAGCTAATTTTATAAACTTCTTTAACCTCTTAATATTTTCTATTTTTTATGCATATTTTCAGACGTCCTTTGTGAAGAAAAATAACGAAAAACCCCTAAGGCAACATAAATAGAATTTATAAGATTATGAGCCGGTAAAAAATATACTGTTTGAGGTAATTATTTGAGATAGTAAAAGATCTCAAAAATTTACACAAAAATAAGATTAAATAGTTAAAAAGTTGTCCTTTACAGCTCTTTATGCAAAGCCCGTGAACTTCTTAGATTAGGCTGACCACAAATGACAGGTACTTATGGGCATGTTTGGATCTTTGGTCTGGGGCTACTGAAAGAAGAAAGCCCAATTAATCAGCAGACATAAAGAGCCTCACTTCGCTGTGTTGTTTTTTTTTTCTCAAAATGTCGCACAGGTTTTCCTTTGCCGTTGGAGTCTTCGTTCTCACATACGGAGGAAAGAGCATTGCTTCCATGAAATGGCGGGAAAAAGGATCTGGAACAATGCTCTCTTTACCAGGTCATTTCAAGCGATTGCCAACGTAGAAGAACTTGATTAAACCCTAGCTACGAATTGAACAGCTGTACGTTGCCGAGTTTGCCATCACCGCCCTGGAACAGGTGAGCCTTTTTTGCTGATTACTTTATTCATTTCCATAGAGCTGATTTTGGTTTTTACCGTGAAAGGATTTGGGAACACTTCATAATGTCCGCAAATTAAGAAATGGGTGTAATGCATTGATCAATAACCTGGTGTGTGGGGGGGATTCCTAAGGGGGGGAAATTCCTTTAATTTTGAATCGTACACTGCAAAACTAATGCGTGAAAATTTTCAAACCATAAGAAAATGATCTAGAGTTAGGTTGGCAATATTTCTTAGATTAATATATACACACACACACACACATGGCATAGATATCTTATATCTAAAAGGCTAATTTTGAAAACCGCATGTTCCATGAGGCAAGTTTTTTTTCCCCTTTTGGATACCCGTTGGCAAGAGAGAAAAAAAAAAGATAAAGGCTTTTTGGATACAAAATGGCTCATGAGATGATGCACTACTTCATGTACATGGCAGGTCGATCGGTCAATGTAAATTCATGATAGATCATGCTTGTTTCTAACAAATATTATTTCATTTTGATACATCTTACGCTAAAATCGAACTGTCTCTCGTACTATGCTGTGAAGATCTCTGAGGCGTCAACATGTCCTTGAAGCATCTCCACTACTCTGCCCATTGAGGGGCGATCACTTGGGCTCAGCTGTATGCAAGTAAAAGCAACTGTAATCATTTTCTGGGCTATCTTCTTCTCTTCTTCTGTGGCATTGCTTTTAAATATTGTTTCTTCAAACTGATCATGAACCCATTTCGCAAAGTAAGTCTGCCATGAATTCTGCACAACATCATAGTTCTTTCTTCTTCCTGCCATTTCCATCAGCATCATCCCAAAACTATAAACATCAGCCTTGTGTGAGATGCCTCCAATGTTTTTGTACAACAATTCAGGAGCCATGTATCCCATTGTGCCTCTAGCTGCAGTTAGAGACACAATACTTTTATCTGTTGGATATAGTTTTGCCAATCCAAAGTCTGAAATCTTGGGAGAAAAATTCTCATCAAGAAGAATATTGTGAGGTTTGATATCAAAGTGTAGGATTTGCTTGTCGCAACCTTGATGTAGGTACTCAATCCCACGAGCCACCCCTAAAGAAATCTCATTGATCTTCTCATAATTTATTGATGATTTTTCATGCTGAGAAAGTATGTATTTATCTAAAGATCCGTTTGGCATGAACTCATAAACAAGAGCTTGCTTTCTTCTCTCTGCACAAAATCCTATCAATTGCACCACATTTACATGACGAATAGTTCCAATGGTGGAAACTTCATTGATGAAATCATGCCCATCTGTTGTTGACTTGCCTAATAGCTTAACAGCCACATCACGCTTGCTTCGAAGCTTTCCTTTATATACAGAACCATAACCCCCTTCTCCTAACTTATGCTTGAAATTTTTGGTCATTCTTCTTATGTCAGAGTAAGAGTATTTGATAGGCACTAAATTGCTGTGACTTCGTAGGAAGTCCTCAATGTCATCGTACTCAGATAAATGCCTCCTTCTCATTTTATATATTAGAAACCCCACAAAAATTGGGAATCCAAAAGCAAATTTTGCTGCAAACCACAAGGCAACTGCGGGCAAAAAAAGAAAAAAAAAATTAAATGAAAAGAAAATGACGCAACATAAAACAAAATTTCCAGAGAATTTCAATTAATTTCACTTGCATAAATGTCAGCGTTGTCCAATGCTTTCCCCTCCCAAACATTGAAAGGGAAATTTCTTACTAATGGTAGTAAATGTTTAAACAATTTCATGAAGGGTTAGGCACTTTCTGATCCCTAACTCGTTTTTCTTTATTCTTGTGTGTCTTTTACTTTTTGGTTGTTAACGTCTGGCTGAGTAACTACATCCATCATAATTGAAGTTATATCTTGAATATGGTTGGGGTTTCCTAAAGAAGTAGTTCTCGTCGTTGATATACTTTGTTTAGGTACCTTGAAGTTGGTATATGCATGGAACTCTTTGTGGGGGTCCCTAAAATGAGGACTTCCCATTAAATTTTTATGCTGTGGCTGGGGGTGCCAAAGGATAATTTCTATTACTAACTGCATGTTAGATAGAATTGGATTTAAGCTATAGATCACTTATTGGCAATCCTAAAATGGGGCAATTCCTACCTATCAATAGGATTCGTTCCCAGCAGAAAGGGGATTTGTGGTCGCTTAAGCAAGAAATCTTGAGTTCAAATCCATGTAAAAGTTAAAAAACGTCTTTGGATGAGCTACTCTTGATTGAGCTTGACAGTACTCTAATCTGACCCGGTCAAATAACCACGTGAAAAAATGGGCAATTCCTATTGATTCGTATACGAATGTACAGTTGAGATTCTCAAAAGGGATAATTTGCTGTGCAATTGCTATTACGTAGGTAGTGTAAATAGGAGTGAAAAAATTAGCTAGAAAGATGATTGCGTGTTAATTGAGAGATACTGAGTTTATAAATAGGATATATGCCTACTTTGTATTCATATTATGATTTGTAAACATCAGTGAAGTTACTCAGAGTGCATCTCTCAGTTTCTCTGTTTCGCTATTACTTTTCCCTCTCCATTTGTTTCTGTTCGTCTCTCAACTCTCTCTCCTTCCCTCTCTTTCCTCCTTTCTCCTGTTAGAGTTGCAAAGTCTCGTCAGTTCCCCATTTATATACCTGCAGTTGTGCTTTAGTAAAACCATAATTTACTTTTGAATGTTAAATGCAAGTGATGAATTGCATTCTCTATCTGGTATCAAACAATTTGGAATAGATAAATGGTCAGAAGAAAAACTTAAGGAATAAAGAGATCTTACATTGATAAAAATTTTGCAGGCATGTGAATTTTTGGTCATTAATTATAAGAGAAAGCTTTGGTCAGGGGTTTAGACTATATGGCAATTTTAATACAAGTACATGCGGAGTCAGAGCCTGATCATAATCTGTCAACCATCTCAACAGCCAGTAACGTTATTACAATCTAAAATTAATACCACAGTCCACAGGATCAATGACAATAGGGATATAATAAAAAGGAGAGGAAATATAGCTGTAACTGAGGAAATTATGAGTTCCTGATAGAAAGGGGAAACTACATGGACTTACTGGAAATTGGTGAGATTACATGGATTGAGGGGTTAATTTAAAACTAAAAGATTTATAAATAGAATGACTGAGACCTGAATTAGGTAGTGATCACAGCATAAGAGTAAGAATGCATTGCATCCTAAATAAACTAGATTCATACGTTTGTATTTATATGTCTAACTGATAAGACTTGTCTTTTTAATGTCCTTGTAAGATGAGCACCTTAAAAATTTGTTTCTTGGATCTTAAAGTAGTTACTTACTCCTTCTTGTTCCTAATATAAGAGCTTAAACATTCTCTGTTTGTTTTACCAGAAAGGAAAACTTTTTTTATCCACACCACAATTGGTCGGTTCACAAAGTTTCGACCATCTATCGAAGCCTAACTCACAAGTACCTCCCACCTCCTCTCATAAAGGAGGTTATGGGTTCTATATTACATGTTAAAAGAGGGATAGATGCGATGGGTGTGTGGTTCCCTCCCCTATGACAGAGAGAGGTGTGCGTTAAATTGCCTAAACAAATGGGGGGGGGGGGAGAACTAGAAAATTCTCTGGCAAGGAGAAAACTTTGATTGGCACATACCTGTAATCGAGTAATACAAAGAGGATTCTGCATTGTCAAAATTCAGATTAAAAATATAATTAATTTCAGTATGACAACGATGACAATAATTACTTTTCTTCATTAGAATACGGAGATAACTATCCGCGAAGCTCACCCATTAACATTGCAGAAATAGGATGTCCTGCATCCTGATGACAGAGAATCATATTAGTGGCATTTTCTAGCCAGCAATTAGGTTCCCCTCCGTTCGCCACTCCACAGCGATCAGCACGCCATTTGATGTGAATCCCCTTTACCACTTCACTCTCAAGTTTCTGATATGAGCATTTCTCATTACATGTCATCGGTCCCCATGGCACCATTTTCACCATCAAATCTATTTTGCAGGACTCTCCCACATCAGATGCCCTTGGATAATGCTTCAGCATATAAGAATATTGCGCTTCTGGCTCTTCAGCAGAACAAAGCGCCACAATATTCTCATTCAGAGGAGAGAGAACTGGATTTTTGCAGCTGACAAACACTACTTCACCCACAGAAAAACGATAATTTTTATCGCTCAGTTCCATCTCTTTTGCTGATGAGAAAACGTGGGTGAAGTTGTCGTATGTACGAGTGATAGCGGAGCAGTTGTTGATGTCATTTCCAGCAGTGATGGATTGGAGAGTGGTGGTAGAGTTAGTGGCATAAATGGCCTCTACTAGCTGCCTCCCATAGTTCAGATATAACACGCTTTTGTTCTTGTCACAGACTAGTTCGTAACTCGGATCGCTGATCACTTTGCTATTGCGATTATAGAAATATCTATACCTAAGATGTTGCACACGAGCAAAATCTGGTTTTGGTGAGAAACCAAACACTAGGAAATAAAAAGAAATAAGAAGGGTAAGGAAGATGACGGTTTGCGTTATCATTGTGAAGGATCTGGGAAAGGTGTCTACAAGGCGGTGATAGCTCTCAAAAGCATAGATGACGCTTCGATGATAGATCACTTTGGAGTCAATGCTATGTGCCAATTAACAATTTAAAGACGTGTGAACAAGTAGTAGTTTCTTTTTGCCCCTTTTCTTATAACCTTGAAAAGTCTAACTCGCATTGATTGCGTTCATGAATTGATCAATTTCTTGGAAGTTAATTCTATACTCCTTCCATCTTCAAATATAATTTCAATCAACTCAGACAGTTCAAGAAAGTTAGTTTATTCTTTTAATCATGCCTTAAAATTTAAAATTTTCCATTAAAATACACTTGTGATCGGTGAGTTGACATGATCTCATTTATAAGATACACCTAAAAGGATGTCTGAAAGATACACCTAAAAGGATGTCTGAAATTTTCACTCACTGTGTTTCTTATGTTTATCATTTTTTGATTTCTTCAAATTAATTTATCTAATTTATAAACTAATATATAATTTAATATTAAATAGGGATATTTTAAAGAGATTATGCCACACTTGTTATAATTAACTAATTTATCTAACTTTCTTAACCTACTTAAATCAATTAAGTAAATCTTATATTAAAGACAATAGGGGAGTAAGTGCCTAAGGTTTTAGTGCTTTTCACCAATTTTAAGTAATTTTCTGATCTACATTATTTTGTTATTTTTATCTTCAATTGTTAATGAGGCTCTTTTTAATTCATCCAACATTATACAGCATTTTTCCCCAAGTGCTTGAAGTATTTTATCATTCAATTTTGCTCCTAAAGTATTTTTTTAGGAGTTATTTTGTTTCTGTCATTAATTTTCAAAAGGTTGATACATTCCACACTATAAAATATTTTTGTCATAACTTAAAGTAATTTTTTTCGTGTAATTTTGTCTTAAATTATAGGAGGAAGAAGCTAAAGAGGAGAGGGAACATAATATAATAAATTATAATTCATGAAGTGAAGGTTTGGGAGTAAGCAATACAAAAAGTCTTGAGAATTTGTGTAAGGAATTCAATTATGAGACAACTTATTAATAGGAGTTAGGTGGCTAATTCAAAAAAAAATTATGACAGTTTGACGACAAAATTCATGGGTGCCTTCATTGTCAAAGATAACTACCAAACGACCAACCAATGAATGCCAGGGGACCTATGCTGAGGAAACAAAGACAATGAAAGGTTTGAAATTTGGTTTCATTCCCATTTTTGGTGGAAATTTTCCAGTAAATAGGAGCAATGGTTCCTCCAAAATATCAAGAGGGTGGTTGCTTCCCATTCCTATCTTTCAAACTCACACAAATTGTGTCTTAGATTTCCATCGCTGCAATTGCTGGAATAAAGATTTGTATCTGTGGAGACGTTGAACACATATCCGCAGGATTCACTAAATGTTTCGACAAAGAGTGGTAAACTAGGAAGATATGAACCTTCCAAAACGAAGGCAAAGAAGATGATTAAGATTAGGTTTATCAGTGTGAAGGATCAGAGCAGGAAGAAACAAGCAGAGGTGATGGATCGAGACAACCACATATATTTATTCCAAGTTTTGAAACATTCAGGCGGCTTGACTTAAAGAAAATAACATTTGGATGAAGCACAATATAGTTCAGGACGGCTTAACCCATTCAAACACGAGACAGCTCGACATAACGACAAAACTTATGGGTGCCTTCAGAGTCGGAGATAACTCCCAAACGACCGACCAAGAAATAAATGAAATGCATGTGCGGGCCTATACTGAGGAAGCAAAGACAATGAAAAGTTTGAAACTTGGCTTCATTCCTATTTTTCGTGGAAAGTTCCAGTAAACCGGAGCGATGGTTCCTCCAAAATACCAAGAGGCTGGTTGCTTCCCATTTTTTATTGTTCAAACTCACACAAAATTGCATCTTAGATTTCAAGTATTGGCATTGCGAACAATGAAACAGCCCAGCCGATTCGCAACCCTGTTCTTATTCTTCTGCTTCTTAAATATTTTTGCCGAACCAAACATCCACGATCCATGCAAAGTAACAAGGTGCAGCCTTGATGGACCAGACGTCCGGTTCCCCTTTAGGCTCAAAGGAAAACAGCCAGAATGGTGTGCGTATAATTCTGGCTTTGACCTTTACTGTACTGAAACAAACCAGACAGTGCTCGAGCTGCCTTTCTCAGTCAGGGTTATCATACAAGACGTAGACTATAAAAAGCAATTCTTTGCCGTGTCAGAGCCTGATGGATGCCTTGCTCATCTCAATTTATCTGCATCTCCTTTTCGTTCAAATGATTATGATGAATCAAGCCAAAATGTGTTATTCAATTGCTCAGGGACGTCTCGTAGAGATTCAGAATTTCAGCAATGGGGGAACTTTTCTTGCCTCGATGTTGCTGGCTATGAAGTTTTAGCTATACCATATTCAGCAGAAATCATAGACTATCCTCTTCTATCATGCACGAGAATTCCTGGTTATGCATCATGCCTAATTCGTTTTACTATTACAATGAGCCTATATATCTGTCTTGGCTCGAACCAGATTGCAGAAAGTGTGAAGAAGATGGAGGGCAGTGTAGATTGACAGAAAACAAAGTTGAACGTGAACCTGAATGTTTCCAAAACCCTCATACAGTTATAGTTTTTTCTCCGATTATAATACCTTCATAAAGAGAGTATAAAATCTATGTGAAGCTGATATAAAGTTTATTTTAGCAGGTCCATCAAAAAAGATAGTACTCACTGGTAAGGATTCTTCAGCCAACAGTTCATCATTTCACATATAAATTAAAGACAAAAGTTCCCAAATCAATTTAATACGTTTTTGTACATGACGCTGTATTTGCAGGTGAAATCCTAGGCCCGTTCCTGCTCATGTTTGTTGGGTTTGTTGTTTATTGGGTTACTGTAGCTAGCCTAGAGAGGCAGGGTTACAAAAAAATTAAACTGTTTTTGGAGGATTACAAAGCACTTAGGCCGGCTAGATACTCGTATGCAGATATAAAGAGGATCACTAATCAGTTCAAGGATGAACTTGGACAAGGAGCTTACGGAACTGTCTTTAAAGGGAAGCTATCTAATGAGATTCTGGTGGCTATCAAGCTTCTCAACACTTCAACTGGGAATGGACAAGAGTTCATCAATGAAATGGAGACCATGTGTCAAATTCACCATGTCAATGTGGCTCGCTTGGTTGGCTACTGTGCGGATGGTTTCAAACGAGCTTTGGTTTATGAATTTTTACCCAATGGTTCATTGCAAAAATTCATAACTTCAGCTGATAGAAAGGATATTTTCCTGGGTTGGGAAAAGCTTCAAGATATTGCTTTGGGCATAGCCAAAGGAATTGAGTATCTTCATGAAGATTGTGACAAACGGATCCTCCACTTTGATATCAAACCTCACAACATTCTGTTAGATGACAAATTCACTCCAAAAATATCTAATTTCGGTTTGGCCAAACTCTGTTCTAAGGATCAAAGCATTGTGTCAATGACAACAGCTAGGGGCACTTTGGGCTATATTGCACCGGAAATATTTTCTCGGAACTTTGGCAATGTGTCTTATAAATCAGATGTTTATAGCTATGGAATGTTACTGCTTGAAATGGTTGGAGGAAGGAAAATCACAGATGTCACAGAAGAAAATGGCGAGCAAGTTTACTACCCACAATGGATTTATAATCTTCTAGAGAACAATGAAGACATACAAATCCATGTGGAAGGAGAGGAGGACACTAAAATTGCAAGGAAGCTATCCATTATTGGACTTTGGTGCATTCAGTGGCATCCAGCAAACCGTCCAACCATGAAAAATGTGGTTCAAATGCTGGAAGGGGACGATGAAAAGCTAATCATGCCTCCTAATCCTTTTGGTTCTTCATATGCAATTAGAACAAGAGCTGCTAATGGAGTAAGGCGATTGCAACCAGAGTTATCTACCATTTCAGAAATAGAGTGAAGTTGAGATGGTTATAATGAGCTGTGTTAGATATAAATTTGTGTTTAGCTTGGTAGTCTTTCCTTCTTGTGTATAAAGTTCAAAATAGGATCACAGATAGTTATCCATGAAAGAATTTCTAAACAATTATAAATATGTAAGTTCTACGTTTTTGCCAGTGGCTATAACCAACTTGAGAAAACTGTTGTCCAGTATTTCCTAACTACATGGTTCACTGAAGCTATATATCATAATCTAAGTTCTTTGAAGAATTATATCCTTTTGAATAAAATGGTTAGAAGAGAAACTACTGCAGAGGCCTACATATATGCGAATGGCTTCCCTATTCTGAAGCTTGGCTCACTCTTCATGAACTCATTTTTTGAAGCTTGGACTATCTATGTTGAGGAACTCAAATTATGTCAAATATAACCGAAATTCTTCTCGAAATGTATAACCACAAAGAAAGCTTAATATTTTAAATCTCTACAGAAAGGGTTGTTGAGATGTGGGAGACAATGGTAAGAGTAACAAAATAAAAATAGAAATGAGATTCACTTTTACTTTTTTATGAATTTGTATTAGAATTTTACAGTAAAGAATTTCTAAAAAAATAGTGGCCAATAAAAAATCGTTTCTTGAAGTCTTCATGGACTTTATGAGAGTTTTATTGTAAAGAACTTTTAAGACAGAATATAGTCGCTTTCCAACTTTTGAAAATTTTCCTAATTCAATTCTATACAATTTATATAAAGCTCGACTAGGACAGATTTTAGGTGGCTGCCACTCAGGCATTGATGATTAAAGATATTATTAATAACAGTTGACTTGGAGTCAATGCCTTGTGCAATTCCACTACCATCACGCATTAATAAATGCCGCGAGAATTTTCAACGAAGATGAAGAGCATGTTTTGCTTCATTCTAGAACTATATATATAATTAAAGGACTATAAATTAAATAGAAACAAAAAATTGAATTTATATAATCCAACAAATATTAATTACAAGAAAACTACATTTGCAATGGTTTCTAGGAAAAATTGGTGAGAAGTAACCAAAAGTATAAGAAATTATTTAAAGATATAGGTGCAACTCATTACAACTCTTTTAATAAGTACAAAAAGAAATAGGTATTGCATATGGCTGAAGAAAAATTGCACTCATATGTTGAAGATGAGTTATGCCTCCTGAATTCAAGCCATTTTAATCAAAATCTTCTCAAATACGTAACTTTTCAGCAAATTTTGCTTGCTTCTATTTAATTTCTCATTTTTATTAAAATGAATATATATATATATATATATATATTATACTTCTGAAATTTGTTTAGTCAGATTATACTATTCCACATATTGTCGGCAAGAATTGATGTTCCGGTAACGATTGATTGGATGGAACCATAAGAAGATGGAAATTAATTTTTTTAAAAAGCCAAATTATTATATTGACTCCAGGTCAACCACAATTGATGTGCTTCCCTACCACTGGATTCATTATTGGCGACAAACTTTCAACAAAGTGATAAGAAAGATGGACCAAGCAGTTTCTAGGAAAGAGTGACAGTGATTATATATGTAATATTAAATTTGAAACTTAGTTTTATCTTTCCTAACTCGTTTTTTCCATTCAAATCCACTGGATTCCTTATATCATCATGCAAGTTGTATAAACTACAAATTAGAATTCCACCAAGCAGCAAATTCTTTTTAAAAATAAATAACTGTAGAGAAAACTTGTTAATTTAAATTTCCATATACTGAAGAAATAGCTATGTCATAAAAGAGCATGTAAAAACGTGGCAACATAAAAATTTCATTATTTACCAGGACAACAGCTTTCTTCCAACAATAACCTACATGTAATCCAATAAATCAGAGTATTTCAGAAAACATTAAAGATACTGACCATAATACTAGTTTTACTTATTTGCAAGTAGCTTAATAGAAACGCGAACTATCAGTAACAACAACATTTTCTTCTGAAATCTCTCTCCAAGTTACATAAATTTAGGGAGGAAGAGCCTCTTGAAGCTCCATTTCTCCCTCAAGCATCTCTAACACATTCTTCATCGAGGGTCGATCATTAGGATACATCTGTATGCAATGTGAAGCTATTATGATCATCTTCTTTGCAATTCCTCTTTCCTCATCTGAGATATTGCTCCCCTCTATTGATTCCTCAAATTGATCATAAACCCATTTAGCAAAATAGGTCTGCCAGGAATGCTCAATGACATTTGAGTTCTTCCTTCTGCCAGCCATTTCCATCAGTAGCATCCCAAAACTATAAACATCAGCTTTGTGTGATATTCCTCCAATGTTCTTGTACAAGAATTCAGGAGCCATGTATCCAAATGTTCCTCTTGCATTTGTCAGAGACACAATACTATTATCTAATGGATACAACTTAGCTAATCCGAAATCCGAAATCTTTGGATTAAAATTTTCATCAAGAAGGATATTGTGAGGTTTGATATCAAAGTGTAGAATTTGCATATCACATCCTCGATGTAAATACTCAATTCCTCGAGCAATCCCAAGAGAAATGTTAAATATTTTCTTGTAATTGAGGGGCGTGTTGCTTTGTCTCTCCAAGAATATGTACTTGTCAAGTGATCCATTAGGCATAAATTCATAAACAAGAGCTCGCTTACTTCTTTCAGTGCAGAATCCAATCAGCTGCACCACATTGACATGATGAATCCTGCCAATAGTGGCAACTTCACTAATGAAATCTTGTGCATTATTGGCTTTGGACTTTGTCAGTAACTTGACGGCTACATCACGATTGCTTCGAAGCTTACCTTTATACACATAACCATAGCCTCCTTCACCCAACTTGTGTTTGAAGCCACTGGTCATTTTCTTGATCTCTGAGTAAGAGTACTTGATGGGCATCAGGTTACTGTTATTTCGGAGGAAGTCCTCAACATTGTCATAATAAGATTGATGCCTTCTTCTCCATCGGATAATCAAGAATATTAAAGCACAAGGGGCACTCAGTACGAATTTAGCTGCATACCAGAGAGTTACTGTACACAAGATTTCAACAATAATAATCAGCATTGAATCAGTTCTTCCTATATAATATAGACTTATATTATAAACATTGAATTCCTTGTTGGGATTCCTAAAATATGGACTTCCCATTAAGATTTCAACAATAATCATCACGGATAATGAAATGAAGTATATATTGAAGCATTTTCCTGTACGCAATGAGAAACTCTGGTTCGTTTACCTGTATATATCATGCTCGCGAAGAAGGCTGCATTGTCAAAAATTCTAAAACATAATTGGTTTCTATTAAATCACCTGAGAGTAAATATCCTTGTTACTTTATTTTCTTTCATAGATTAACTATATTCCATGAAAACTATATCCATGAAGCTCACCGAAAATAAGGTTCACAAGACAAATTGCCGCACCGTAGTCTTGGGAAGGACAAAGAACCATATTAGTGGCATTTTCAAACCAACAGTCAGGCTGCGGCCCTGCGTCCCACACTCCACAACGATTTGGGCGCCATCTGACCTCAATCCCTTTTACCTCTTGCCTCTGAACTTTCGGATATGAACAACTCTCATTACACGCCATTGGTCCCCATGGCACCACCTTCACTATCAAATCTATTCTGCATGACTCTGGCACTCCAGAGATACTTGAGGAATACCACGTCAGCACAAAAGGATGAAGCGTTTCGGGCGCTTCGTTAGTACAAAGCGCCACTAAACCCGGATAGCGATCAGGAGGGAGTGGATTTTGGCAGCCGACAAACACTAATCCTCCCACATAATAATTGAAGTGGTTATTCTTGGAGTCGAGTTCTGTCTCTTTGGCTGTGAAAGCTTGGCTGAAGTTATTGTATGCGAGGGATTGACGAGAGATCGCTGGGCAATTGTTGATGTCAAGTCCAGCGGTGATGGATTGGAGAGCAGTGGTGGAGTTAGTGGCATAAATGGCCTCTATTAAATGCCTCCCATAGTTTACATACAACACACTTCGGTTATTCTCACACACTAGTTCGTAACTTGGATCGCTGCAATTGCCTTTATCATGATATCTATCTGTTGGGACGTTGAACACTTGTCCGCAGGATTCACTAAATAAATATCCGGTATGGAAAACTCCCATAAAATTTGAAACTAGAGCAAAGGCTGCAAGGAAGATGATTATGGAGGCTTCACTTATCATTGTGAAGTACTGTCAGAGAAGGAAGAAGATAAGCAAGCTACTTTACAAGCGGAGGTGCTGGCTAGCTTGATCCATACATCCCCTGTCTTCAAAACAAAACAAGTGATGGATGCCTATGATGATAACTACCAATGATATCATGACCAAAAAAACAAAAAAGAAACTACTAATGATATCGATTTCCCTTCTTGCGTGAAGTTCAAGTAAAAATGTAGATGAGAAGGTCGCAAGAATTGTATAATAAAAAATAATTACAAAATAAGAGTTTTAGTCCAAGTTCTGAGAATTTGTTTTATTTTTCCGAGTCTCTCTGAATTTTATAAGACTTTTATATGATTTTTTTTGGAAAAAAAAAATGTAGTGTGAATCCAGATTTTGAAAGTTCGCTCAACTCGATGCAATACCCAAGTGGGTTGACCCTGACTCATGAGTTTAGGTGACTTTGAAAAGTCATCCTGCCATAGTGCCATTGATAATTACAAAAATAAATGATGGTTGACTTGGACTCAATGCCTTATCCTGATCCTCATCCACTAACACAGCACTTTAATTAAATGAGGATTTTTTTAATTCCAGATCCATAAAATGAATATAGCTTACGTCAAAACAAATACTTAAATCGAATTAATTGAACTAAACAATTATTAAATATAAACAAACTAAATTTATAATTACCTAAATTTATGAACTCATGTCGTAAATTTATATACATAAAAAAATATTATATATGGATAGAATACTATCAATTAACATCGTATTTCCTAGCTAGTTGCACTTCGCATTCTTAATATAACTTAGACTTCGAAAAATCAAACGGAGGATTTTGATTGGGTGAACAGTTCAAATTTTGTCTAGAGAATTACTCCTGTGGTGCTTGCTTTAGGACTTAATTGAAGAGTTAATATTAGTACCATTTATAAGACTTATTTTTATCAGTTTTTTCTAAATTAACCCTATTGATATTTTTTTCAATAATCATCAAGTAGGAGAGGGAGGGAGGAAATTAAGAAAGACGCTAAGGGTATTTAAAAAAAATCATATTAACTGAATTAACTAACATCGTTAATCTATTCAAATTAGAACTGGAGGAATACTATTTTGGAGTAATCGTGAATTTCCAGATTGGACCAAAAGAAAAATGAAAGTTTATAAAAGCCAAATCATTGACTCCAAGTCAACCAAAATTGATGTACTACCTTTGGTCCTTGATATAAAAGTTTGTTAATTAATTTAAGTAGATTAAAGAATTTTGTTAAATTAGTTTATTGTAATAAATAGGTATTATTTTTTTTAAAATATCCTTACTAATAAAGTATTATTTGATGAAACATTTGACATATGCAATTACGACAAAAACTATCTTAAAAAAAATATAAATATGAGAGACAAAATAAATTGAGATCTTATATTTAAAATTAAACTAAAAGTCAAACTAATTTTTATATTAAGCACCGGAGGTAGTATATTAAGACCGCTTATTATTAAGAACAAATTTTCAACAAAATGACAAGAAAAGTACTCCATGAAGCTTCCAAGGAAAAGAGGGCAATAAAAAAATCGCCCCCACCATATTGACTAAATTCTAAACCTCAAATCTTAAATGACATTGTATTTTTTAAGAGAAGGTAATAATTTTTCCTATCTCTCATTTTATTATGGTCCCATTCCATCAACCATCCCATCACTATCAATCAATGCAGGGAGTTTCCTCAACACGAAGGAAGATATATAAGCTGTAACCATGACTAGCGAGCTTTGTTATCAATCTTCTATGGTACATAAATTTCTGGAGATCAAGTGACATAAATGTTTCGCTGAAAAATTCGTTACTTCAGCTAACGTAACATACCCGTTTTCTTGGCCAAGAAACCAATCACATGAATATTGAAAATAGTGACAAGCCAATTTTTCAACTTAATATGTATCAAACTTTATAACATTTTCAGATAATTACCACAAACACAGTCTAAGCCGATGAGCTATACAGCAACAACTTAAGCGCACTGATATTATTATTGAAGAAAGTCATGAAAACCTGTCATCTCAATTAAAAATGTAGAAGTCAAAATTGTTCAATAAATTTTGTGTTTGTACGTATCTAGCTATTTGCTAGCTGTAAAGCTTAGCTAGTCAAGGGTTAAATGCAAAAAATACTATAAGGAGATGTTCAAAATACTAACTCTGCATTAAACTATTATTAAAGATTTACAAAGCTCATTCTGAATTCAAATTCTTCCAATTATATATCAACAATTCAACATCCCCTTTTGGAATCCCTTTCCAAGTTATAGAGGGTTGGTACGGTGGAAAAGCCACTTGGAGGTCAATTTCTCCCTCGAGCATCTCTATCACTTTCTTCATTGAGGGTGGATCACTAGGATTCATTTGTATGCAATGTGAAGCTATAACAATCATCTTCATCGCAATTTCCCTTTCCTCTCCGGTGGTACCACTCACTTCTATGGATTCTTCAAATTGGTCATAAACCCATTTGGCAAAATGGGTTTGCCAAGAATGCTCAATAACATTCAAGTTCTTCCTCCTACCTGCCATTTCCATGAACAGCATCCCAATACTATAAACATCAGCTTTATGTGATATCCCTCCAATGTTCTTGTAAAATAATTCAGGTGCCTTGTATCCCAGTGTTCCTCTTGCATTAGTTAGAGATACAATGCTATCATCTAAGGAATACAACTTTGACAATCCAAAATCAGAAACTTTTTTATCGAAATTTTCATCAAGAAGGATATTGTGAGGTTTAATGTCAAGATGTAATATCTGCATGTCACATTCCCCCGTAAATACTCAATTCCACGAGCAATCCCAAGATAAATATTAAATATTTTCTCATAACTAAGTGATGAATTCCCCTTTCTCTCCTAGAATATATACTTGTCAAGAGACCCATAAGACATAAAATACACAAGACCTCGCTTGTTTCTTTGAACACAAAGTCCAATAATTAAGTTGAACCACATTCGCATGATGAATCCTGCCAATAGTAGCAACTTCACTAATAAAATCTTGTCCATTGGATTTGAACTTGCTTAGTACCTTGACAGCTACATCACGTTTGCTTTGAAGCTTTCCTTGGAAGACATGACCATAGCGTCCTTCACCTAACTTGTGTTTGAAGCCATTAGTCAATTTGTTGATCTCTGAGTAGGAGTGCTTCATGGGCATTAGGTTACTATTATTTTGAAGGAATTCCTCAACATTGTCATAAACAGAGAATAGGAAAAATATCTAACTGATGCTCTTTTTCTGTAACTGTTATTGGTTTCGCTCTATAACTAACTAGGGCAAGAAATTTAATAGTGTGACAAATGAAATTGAAGGACAAGGAGAAAATTAAACCTTGAATAATCGTCGCAGTCTCAATAGCAAAACCTGCACTGTCAAGATTCAGAAGTTTCGACCAGACCAATCATGAAAACAATTGTTTCAATTTTTCTTTTCTTCTCAAGAATACCATGATAATTAGCTATATCTGTGCCGTTCATCACCTCAAAGCATTCTAAGACCCAGCAGCGGACGATGACAAAGAACCATATTAGTGGCATTTTCAAGCAGTTACCTTTCTCTTCTTCCCACTCGCCACAACGATTTGGTTGCAATCTGATCTCAATCCCCTGTACCTCTTGGCTCTGAACTTGTGAATAAAAATAGAGTTAACTGGACTTTGGCAGCTAACAAACAGTAATCCGCCCACATGATAATGGTAATTTTTGGTGCTTAGTGAAACGTCCGTCATTTAATGTATATTTAGAAGCGCTATGATCCAGCAAATCATGAATTAAGCTTATATATTGAAAACTTCTATTTTTATTTTTGGGTTACCATTCATGTAGTAAATTTCAGATTTTTACCTAACTTTAAAAATTCATAACTAATTATAAAAAAACCGCATTGAAGTGATTCAAGTCTCAAATTAAAACTCCTTTGACTCTCTACAGGGAAAAATATTCATTGCGTTATTTACTTGCTCATTTATTATATTTGACTTTCGAGACTTCACTACAGCCTCTAACTTCCTTGTCTCTTGGTCGCAAAAAACTCTCTCTTTGCAATTTGACTTTTAAGAATAATTCTATTCTTTCAAAAAAATTTCTGGGACTCTTGCCAAAAGGAGTTTGGTAACCTACTCATTTCAGACTATTTCTTGCATTTCTATGCTTAAAAGTTGGGATGTTACACTTAGTTATCTTGCTTTGGCTGTGAAAGCGTGGGTGAAGTTGTTGTTTTATGTGAGAGAATGGCGAGAGATGGCAGGGCAATTGTTAATACCAAGTCCAGCGGTGATGGATTGGAGAGTAGTGGTGGAGTTAGTGGCGCAGATGGCCTCTACTAAAGGACTCCCGTAGTTTAAATACAACACAGTTTTGTTGTTCTGGCAGCGTAGTCCGTAGCTGGGGTCGTAGCAATTGCGGGAATAAGAGTGTGTATTTGTGGAGACGTTGAACACAAGTCCACAGGATTCACTAAATGAATTCATAAAGAAAACTTCATTCATATAGTAGACGAGTAGAGCAAGGGCAAGGAAGATGAATATGAAAGTTGCATTTATCATCGTGAAGGATATCAAGAGAGCTAGGCAGAAACAGATTAATTTCCAAGCGGAGGTGCTGGATCCATAGTGGCGATTTTCCTTCTTGCTTGAAGTTGAAGTACAGATGTAAATGGGATTTATTTTTAGTCTTTTTCTTAATGTTCACATTAATTGTATCTATAATGAAGAATTAAGAAAAAATAGTTAGTCCATGTTTTGAGAATCTTTTTTATTTTTCTAGAATTTTAGAAGATGTTTATATGAAAAATTGGAATTAAAAGAACAGAGCGAACCCAAGTGCGAATACAATAATTAACATCCAAGTGGTTTGACTCTAATTTTGTGCGGACTTGAGTCATTCTGCATTGATAAGCAAAGAAATCAATAACAGTTGGCTTGAAGTCAATGCCTCCACTACAAAAATCTGGACTTTCAGCGACCACTTTCA